CCCCGTCCCAATGGGACGTCCCAACGCTGCACTAACCAACCTCCCCTCTGCAGCGAGAGGGGGAATTCGGTTCCCGCTGCTCTCTCGGGGAGGTCGCCAGGGACAACGGAAGAGTTTTGCTCGGAGTTTGTTCGATGGATTTGCCCCTGGAAATAGAAGCCTTCCAGCTCATCCTCACGGTGAGCCCCACCGCCATCGCATGACGGCCCAATGGGACGTCCCAACGCTGCACTAACCAACCTCCCCTCTGCAGCGAGAGGGGGAATTCGGTTCCCGCTGCTCTCTCGGGGAGGTCGCCAGGGACAACGGAAGAGTTTTGCTCGGAGTTTGTTCGATGGATTTGCCCCTGGAAATAGAAGCCTTCCAGCTCATCCTCACGGTGAGCCCCACCGCCATCGCATGACGGCCCCCGGGCCGCACTGCACCCCAAGTGCTGGCTACAGGTTTCTCTCCGATGGCACAGGGTGGGGGGGGGATGCAGGAGGAAGGATCTGGCCCAGCCTCTCTCCCACTCTCTGCTGGAGGACAGAAACTGTAGGGCTACAGGACAGGGCTCCCAGGAGGTGTGTGAGCCCGAGACTAAGCAGGTCTCTGCTCCCTGGGTAAACTGGCAGGGGCTGGCCTAGAACTGGCAGGAACTTTCCAGAAGCAGTCTGGAGAACCTGGCCAGTTGGAGCACCTGGAGCCAATTAGGAGCCTTCCAGAGCCAAGGGAGTCGGGCTAATTAACACCTGGGGCCAATCAAGAACCAGTTGAGACTGGTTTCAAAGGGATCCTCCTCTGTCGGCGAGGAGCGCGCGAGGAGTTTGGAGGCGGGAAGGCCACCAAGCGTGGACAGGGAGAGGAGTCTGGGTGAGAGCTGGGGTCTGCGAGTCAGGCAGCGTGCCCTGGAGGAGCAGGACAGGCTGCTCAGGTACCAGGGAAGGTCCTGGGAGGGACTGTTTGGGCAAGTGGCCCAAGGAAGCAGTTGCCAGGCGGGGAGTAGAACAAAACCTGCCTGTTGCCGCTGCCTGAGGGTCCCTGGGCCGGAACCCAGAGTAGCGGGTGGGCCCAGGTTCCCCCCCACACACACCACTACAGAGTCTGTCCCTGGGACCCCTGGCTGCATGGAGGGTCACAGCGAGCAGCCACACCCCACGGCCCACTCATGCATCCCGTCACGGTATATGTCGGGTTTGGGAAGAGAAAGCTAGCGTGGCAGAGCCGGACGGCTTCCGGGTTACTCCACGGGCGAGAAAGGGGAGATGTGTTCATCGTGTACATTTTAACAGCCTCCAACCCCGCTTGGAAACGGCTGTCCTGGAGGCCGGACTGTATCGTTTTAGATGACAACCGCCCTGACAATAAATCTTGAGAGGAAGTGACAGGCGCAGAGATGTTAATTAAAGGGTCTTTGTTTCACATTTGCCTTCTAGGCCTAATCTCCCCTCACAACCAGCTCCCCGTTGACTGGCATGGTTAATTGAGTTTTTAAGCTATTTAATGGCAACTGCAGAGAGAACAATCTGTCCTGTTCTCCTTTCCTTCCTTTTATCT